AAAAGGCTGCACTTTGCGGGGTGCAGGCTCCCCCACATTGATTATATCTATCTATCTATCTATATAGATATATAGATATATATAAAGGCTACACTTTGTGGGCTGCAACACAAAGTGTGGCTTATACACACACACACATTGATTATAGCTATTAGATATATATTAATAGGCTGCACTTTGTGGGCTGCAGCACAAAGTGCGGCTTATATATATATGTGTGTGTGTGTGTGTGTGTGTGTATATATATATATATATATATACACATACACACACACACACACAAAATTTATGTATATTAAATATATTTTAAAAGGCCGCACGTTGTGCCACAGGGAACGAGAAAAAGATATATAAAGATATATATAAATAATAAAGGCTGTGTGTGTATATGCACACACATACAAATTTTTTACTATAGAAAGGCTTGTATTATATAAATATATACATAAATAATAAAGGCTGTTTGTATATCTAAATATACACAGTCTTTATTATTTTATGTATATCTTTATATCTTTCCCCGTGGCATAGAGAAAGAGAGAGACATATATACAAACACACAATTTTCAGTTTACTGAGGTAGGAGCAGTAGGATTTTAAAACGGCCTTCCCTCTCCAAATATCTTCTTGGAAGGCATCACATCCCAAAGAGGACACATTCTGTGCTGCTTTGACAGTATATTCAAAAACACATCACCCATTTGCTAATGGGGAAAATTTCACAAGCTTTGTTTTGCTTTGGGCAAAACCTGCCCCCAAAATGTGGAGATTTAAAAGGGTAGCAAGAAGCCCTGAGAACTGGAGGGCAAGATTTATTCATGCCATCTGTTATTTTATTTGAGCTTCTGAAGGTGCGGATCATTTTCAAAACAAGCAAATCGCAGGGACTTAAAAATCCTACCGTCTTCACACACAGCTGTGAAACCCTTAAGTCAGACTGTTTGTTGCTTTAATACAGCCCTTCCCTGTTAAACAGCACCATAAGAGGCATTCCTCCTTCTCCATATTCAGAGTCCTTGTGTTTATTTTGGGTAGCCGTACAGGCCATATGTGGGGAGGCCAGACCTGGGAGAAAGAAGCTATGAAGGGAAACAACCAAAACAAGATTCAGCAGAACAGACAAGCCACTAATATTGCAAGTGGGAAGGTCAAACAAAGACAATCAGGGAAATGCAGCCAATTTCTTTATTAATGGGCGTTATTTGTTCCTGTGAGAAATGTAGGTCCAGAAGGATAATTTGAGTCATCTTTCCTAGTTCAGAATCACAGTTCCTAACAGGGAAGATGAATGTGAACCTCACAGATTATTATGTCAATAAGAAAATGATGCTAATACAGTATATTTGTCCCTCCATATTTGCAGCTTTGACTTTTGCGGATTTTATTATTCACAGATTTTATTAATATGTTCTCTCTAGGAATATCTAGGAATTTCATACTGATTGCCCTCTCTACAGTTAGTTGGAAATTTCATTTCCCACATTTCCGTGGCAAGAGGAGTCCTCAAGGAGGGTTACATCATGTCAAACACAAAACCACTGTACTGTATGTATACATTGATGTTGGGGGAGCCAAAATCCTAGAGCTGGATAAACAGTAAGTTGTGGTTCTCACACATGTAATTCACTAACATATCACTTTGAAAGCAATTTTGTAGACACCTGGTATAAGATCTATTGAAAACAATAGGACTTATTTGTATGTGTACAGATTTGAACTTGAGAGCCAGCATGGTGCGGTGGCCTGAGCGTCGGACTACAAAACTGGAGATCAGGATTTGATTCCCCTCTCGGCCATGGAAACCTTGGGTGAGTCACACACTCTCAGCCTCAGAAAACCCTGTAATAGGTTCACCTGAGGGTTGCCATAAGTCAGAAACTACTTGAAGTAACAGGACAAAAAGAACAAAAATTGGATTTGTAGATATCTATGTCAAATGTGTCATGTGCTCCCTACTCCCAAATAGTGAGATATGGAGAAACTTATGTCACTATAACATTAAACTGTTATTCAAAGGTATAGCTATGTCAGTCTGGAAAATCAGTATGTGAAAGAATTTTGCAGCACCTTTGAGACTAAATGAAAGACAGAAGTTGGTAGTATGAGCTTTCATAGACTTGAGCCAACTTCTTCAGATGCATTTGGTGGAGTGGAAAGTCCAGGGACAGACCTACACTACACTGTTATAGCACTATTATACCACTCATTGCTATGGCTACCTTCTGTACAATTCTGGGGTTTGTAGTTTTGTTAGACCTAAGAGCTCTTTGGTTGAGAAGTTTAAATGTACCTCTCCAAACTGCAAGTCATAGGATGCCACAGGAGGAAATATAGTGTTACCTCCACTGGAAAATATGTTTGAGATTATGTATATTGATACGAAAACTCCAGGAAGAGAAAATGATCCTCAAAAGCTGATTCACACAAGCAATTCACCATTCAGTCTTGTCAACTCCCCACCATTGCCAAAGAATCAACTTGTATATGTGAAGTATGCATGCTGAGTTTTAGTAGCAGCAGTAAGAAGTAAAGCAAGCAGATTACCATCAGTTGTACCTAAAGAGGAAGAATGGCAGAGCATCGTTCATTTTAAGTTGTTCAGCATTTGCGTTTATGTTCATGAAATGGGTGGAGTGCTGAGTTTTCAGAAACCTCTGTGAACTGTTTCACATTAAATATTTTTACCGCTGTACAAACACAACATTTTGCAAAATGCTTCTGAAGAACAGATTCCTAGCTGGATCTGCACCTAGGCTCAATGGAAGGATATCTGATGGCTACTATCTCTTTCAACAATTGCTGATGGCTGTTGTGAATAATAATAATAAATAATAAAATGTATTTGTATCCCGCTTCTCTGTAAAATACAACCGGGCTGGCTTACACGATAAAACAAACAATCCTGTCCCCCAATAGCCCCTCCAAAATACAATTGTACAATTAAAATATAAAACATACTTAAAAATAACAAACTACAATAAATGACAAGTAAATTAAAATAACTATAGCGGAAATCAGGGTCAACCATAACTTTTTCAGGGGAATGGGGGATACAGGATGTCTCAGCTGGATCCAGGCTTGATGGAGGAATATCTGGCAGTTGTGTCCAATTCTGACATGCATCAGACACATTCACTTGCTAGGGAGCTAGGAATGGGCACATCTTGACTACATATATACAGGTTGATCAATGTTTTGGCCACCATATGCAGGGGTAAAGCTGCAGCAGTGGAGCAGAATGAGGATATTGACCCTTCAAATAAGAATTCTGTCCATCCAAGTGAAATTTTCCTTCAGTCTCCAATTTCTAAAACTGGAGGCTGAGACACTAACAATCGTTCACACCTAGAATTCTTATGGGTGTTGCAGTCCAATTGTATCTGGAGGGCCACACATTCCTGGATCATTTCTTGATCCTAAGTAAAATTTTCCTGCAATGTTTGATTCTGCTCCATTGTGCTCTATGTGAAATTAACTGCCTGAAGAATTCAATAGCTGAATACTCTGTCTGAATTTAAAACAGCGTTAAAGACCAGTTTCTTTTGGCAGGCTTATCATGATGATTTTTAAAATGTGAATTTAAAATGTTGAATTTTAGATGTGGATTGTTTTAATATGTGTACATTTTATTTGTCTTTTTAAATTGATGTGTGTTTTAACAAGTGTTTTAACTGATGTTGTCTATTAATTGTTCTTGTCCCCCACCTTGGCCCATGGGGAGAGGTGAGTAAGATAATAATAATAATAATAATAATAATAATAATAATAATAATAATAATAATAATAATAGTTGCTGCTGCTGCTGTATTCACATGCCCTTTGCCTTCCCCTTTTCTTTGGATACCTAAGTTGTATTTCTAAATGCTCAACTGAAATGTTAAGTTACTGCTCTGCTATAAAATTTGGGACTGAAGGAAAATTTCATGAAGTAGAATTCTTATTTAGGGGGCAATGCCCACATTGAACACACACACACCCCGACTATGTGGCATTTGAACCATCATGGTACACAGCTGTTTCCAACTTAGATGTGGGTTCAATAAATGAGCTATCATCACAAATCGTTTTACAGTTCATAAAGTACTGTGGCACCTTAGAATGTGTTACTATGCTTTAATGGCATGCTGCTTTCTGTGCATTTCAGTAAAGCTACTCTCTGTGTTGCTCACTTTGGGCTATGCACAGCAATTAAGTATTCTGATAAGCTGCAAAGGTGCTCAATTTACATTGCTGAAGTAATCAGCACTCTGGAGAGCGCTTGCCACCTTGTTTTGTTTAGTTTCAGCAGATGCCTGGAAGGAGAAGTACACAAGGAAATTAAGCTTGCAGTCACTGTAGAATGGAACTGATGAAGAAATGGGCGGATAAGATGAAAGCCAGTAACTTGACTAGAGCTCCCAATAAATTCTGAAGTGCTTTCACTGTATACTATTCACCTTGTATTCTCTTTCTTTATGTCGCCAGTATGGCAGAAGTGTAGCGTAGTGGTTTGAGCATTGAACTGTGACTCTGGAGACCAGGGTTAGAATCCCAGTTTGGCCATAGAAACCCATCGGGTGACCTTGGGCAAATCACACTCTCTCAACCTCAGAGGATAGCAATGGCACATTCCCTCTGAAGAAACTTGCCAAGAAAACTCCATGATAGGGTCACCTTAGGGTCACCATATGTCAGAAATGACTTGAAGGCACACAACAACAACAATAACAACATAGTAGAAAACCCTATTAAATGCATGGGGTTGCCATAAGTTGACAGGCAATTTGTAGGCACATGTGTGTACGCACACACAAATACACAGCAACACAACACTCCCTGAGCAGGGATGGCCCAATATGCCCTTCAGAAACATATGTTATCAAGAACCACAAGGAAACTAAGAAGGGAAGATTCACCAGACAATTATAGGCTTTACATTCACCATTGGAGGGAGTATAAAAATTTTCTCAGGGAAAAAAGAACAGAATACATACGTCAGGCTTGGATGGATATGCCTTTAGTGTAGCCCTTTAAATGTATCTCTGCTGCAAACACAGAAAGTATAACTAGGTAGAAAATGACAATATAATGAACTATTTTACAACAATGTCCCAAAGGAATGAAACCACAACTCTATCATATACATTATACAATCACGTTATTATGTATGTAACCATATTGCAATATACTACAAAATACAAGATATGGTAGTATTTTGTAGTGCACGGCAATATGGTCACATACCTAAAATATGATCATTATATATATGGTAGAGTTGTAGTTTCATTCCTTTGGGACATTGTTGTAAAATAGTTCGTTATATTGTCAGTTTCTCCCTAGCTATACTATCCGTGTTTTCTGTGAAACCCTCCTGTTGTGTGTTGTCTGCTATAAGCAACACTGCCAAAATTACTTCCACCATCACCTGCAGTATAAGTACCAAAATGGAATTTCTCTCTGTACCCCTGCCCAAACCCTAGTGATTCTGCAGGGAAGTGACATATGGGGAATGTACATCTTATTACCAAATCACACAAAAGGTGGCAATTTTTCTGGTCATGCTGCTTGCTAGGATGACAAACTTAGCAACAGCATGGCAAAGGTGCAGCTCCCAAAGCTTCCCCCCAAAGTAAGAACTTGACGCCCCCACCTAAGGTACTTGTTATAAGGAGATGCAGTGAAAGCTAGTAATCGGACTTAAGGCAGTGGTTCTCAAATGGTAGGGCAGGAACTGCAGGGTGTGTGAGAAAGTTGCTCAAGGAGGTATGTGTGCAAAATTTATACACGTGTTGAGTTAAATATTGAATTTACTTAAATAAAACTGCTCCAATTTGAATGATGTAATTTCCTTATAAAATGTTAAAATATGAATATGCATGAATGTGTGAATCAATAGCAATAGCAATGTCAATAGCAAATACATTTCTATACCGCTTATCAGCAAACTAGCACTCCCTAAACAGTTTACAATGGGTAAGCCAATTGTTCCCAACAAGTTGGCTACTCATTTTACCAACCTATGAAAGGATCAAAATACAAAATAAACAAAATATTTTAATTCATATACTGTGTTGGGGAGGGGGTTCTACCTGCATGTAAATGTAAAGGGAGCTCCCAAAGCTAAAAGTCTGAGTACCATTGGCTTATAGTTACACTGATAGAGACCATACATTTATAGCAAAATATAGCAATAATCTTTCAGTGAACCAGGTTAACCCCTTTGCTAAAATTTTACAGTTGACTTAATTCCCTTGCAGTCATTTATTAGTTTCCACAGCTTGTTCTACAACATTATAATTTGCATTTATTTTATCATTTTGCTCTCTTGTGCACTTCACATTTCCTGGATTCAGTCAGAAAGCATTAAGCATTAGATAACTGATGAATACTAATGGCAGATTTGTCAAACACACTGTTTCGCAGGTAAGTGTTCGAGTACAGAAGTATCAAAATATGTACGGTCTGCCTTCCATATCCTCAGGTTTTTTTATTCTCTGATTCAACCATCCATGACTTGAAAATATTTTTAAAAAATATAAATTCCAATAAGCAAACCTCAATGTTTCTATTTTATATAAGGGACACCATTTTGCTACACCACTGTATATAATGAGACTTGAACATCCATAGATTTTGGTCCTGGAGCCAAACCTCAACGGATACCAAGGGCCCACTGTACATCTGATTTTGCGAACAGCGCATCACATTTTTTTTCCAAAGGAAAAAAGGTCATTTTGCATCGCATTATGAAAAAGCCTATCAGATACAATTCACACACCACTTCAAATGTTTGTTATAGATTCACAGATTATTTGTTCTCCAAGGTTGGTATCAAATGCAGCAACATTGGATGATTTGAAATTGCTGTGAGATCTTGCTGATAGAGAATGGGTAAAATGTATTGTCCTCTATAAACACCTTATTGCTGCCTATCGCCTTCACAAAGGCGTTCTTATAAGTAATCTTTTTTTCAGTGAACTAGGTTAACCCCTTTGCTAAAATTTTACAGTTTACTTAATTCCCCTGCAGTCATTTATTAGTTTCCACAACTTTGTTCTACAACATTATAATTTGCATTTATTTTATCATTTTGCTCTCTTGTGCATTTCATATTTCCTGAATTCAGTCAGAAAATCAAGCAAAAAGAGAAGTTATCCATGTGGTGTAATATTATCTTTAGTGGGATCAAGGAAAGGAAGCAAAGATAGTTACTTTGACTTACATTTTACTCAAGAAGTAATGCACTCTGTGATGAGATTCATACAGGCAGACTCATTCCATTGCAATCTGGTCAAAGCCATTCTCAATTGCCGCTGAATGCTGTCCATTGGGAAAAAGGAGCAGGGAAAGGCAATTGAAATGCTCTGTTTTACACAAGGGTGTCCAACTTACAGCCCTCAACCTACATTTAAAAGGCCTCTGGAAGTTATTAGTTCAGACTTCCAGTCCACTTGGTAAAGAGAGAAAGGGAAAGGAAGGCAGCTGAACCAGAGAAAGAAAAGATATGGATTCCAGACCTGTTCATCACTGGCTTCAGCCCCAACCGCTGCCAGCAGGGAGCTTCTGACAGTCTACTCTCAAAGGGAATGCAGCCCCAACTAGCCTGTTTCTTTGTACCAAATTCTTCTATTTGCCCTGCTACTTTGTATTTTCTGCCATCACCAGAAAAGGGGAAGCCACTTTTTTGTTAGGTCATTCTATTGTCCACCTAGCCTAGTACTGACAAGTACTGACCATGGCTTTTATAGTCTCTAGTAGAGAAAAAAAGACATTCTTCACCAAAACACACTGCAGAAATAATCCAGTTTGAGACCGCTTTAACTGCCCTGGCTCAATGCTAGGGAATCCTGGGAACTGTAGTTTTGTGAGACATGTAGTCTTCCCTGTCAGAGAGCTCTGGTGCCACAATAAACTACAATTCCCAGGATTCCCTACCACTGAGCCAGGACAGTTAAAGCGGTCTCAAACTGGATTATTTCTGCATGTGTTTTGGACCTGAGAGCACATGTCCTAGTGATGAGATTCTTGATATTGGGGTGGACAGCCAGAGAAACTGGTGGCCTCTCCTTCTCTGGAGATATTTAAAGTGACACAGAGCTGGCCAGTTGGTCTGAAAAATTCACTCTTGGTTTTTATGGCTCCTTTTGCTGCAGTTGCTCCAGAGCTCTCCCAGTCCTGGACCCAATCAATTCAGAGGGCTAGCACTGAGAAAGCTCCCAAACAATTCAGAGCAGCTGTAAAATTAAATCTATTTGCTACCTCCACAAAAAATGGCCCTGCCAACTGCCCCGTTATTGGTCAGGCCTCACCTGGAATACTATGTCCGGCTCTGGGCATTACAATTAAAAAAGGAAGTAGAGAAGCTGGAGCGTGTCCAGAGGAGGGCAACCAAAATGGTGAAGGATCTGTAAACCATGCCTTACAACAGGGGTAGGCAACCTTTCCCCTTTAAGGGCCGAGGGACTTCAGTTCCCAGAAGCCCCAGCCATGTTGGCCAATAGTCCCATGTTGGCCAATAGCTCCTGGGATTCTGGGAGCTGAAGTCCTTCGGCACTTAAAGGGGAAAGGTTGCCTACCCCTGCCTTACAAGGAGAAACTTAGGGAGCTCAGTATGTTTAGCCTGGAGAAGAGACGGTTACGATAGCCCTGTTTAAATATTTGAAAGGAAGTCATATTGAGGTTGGAGCAAGCTTGTTTTCTGCTGCTCTAGAATGTAGGACCCAGAGCAATGGATGTGAACTACAATAAAAGAGATTCCACCTCAACATTAGGAAGAACTTCTTGATAGTAAGAGCTGTTTGACAGTGGAACATGATCTCTCGAAGTGCAGTGGAGTCTCCTTCTTTGGACGTTTTGAATCCAAGGCTGGATTGCCATCTGTTGGAGGTACTTTGATTGTGTCTTCCTACATGGCAGGGGGTTGGATATGATGGCCCTTGAGGTCCCTTCCAACTGTATGATTCTAGGCCAGGGGTAGGCAACATTTCCCCTTTAAGGGCTGAGGGACTTCAGGTCCCAGAAGCCTCAGCCATGTTAGCCAATAGTCCCATGTTGGCCAATAGCTCCTGGGATTCTGGGAGCTGAAGTCCCTCAGCCCTTAAAGGGGAAAGGTTGCCTACCCCTGTTCTAGGCTATGTCAGGGATACTGTAGTTGCAAGATTCCTCTACTAACAGGAGGTTGGACTACCTGACCTCAAGGGGTGGCATCCAGTTCTAGCATTCGTAATAAAAATAGGATTAGATGGACTGGAAAACTTTATACCCAAGCCTTGTCAACTGATGCTTCTCCAACTGCCTGACAGCTTCTGCAGCACTGCCTGGCACACTAGCCACCTCATTACATTATCCCAAGGCATCTTCTTGCAGAGGCACCTATACTTCAAGGTAGCACATTTCTCCTATACCATTACTTCATTCACATTAACAATGCCAGGGCTTAATGTGTCAGATTCAAATCAATGCTTAACCACACAGCAGAGCTAAGAACATCCTATTAAGTCATTTGCTAATATAATTTCATATCAAGATGAACAGGCTATCGATCTGCATGTAAGAATTTGGAA